CAAGGACATTCTAAGGGGAGAAGATTGGTTTGATTGGCACTTAAAATCCAGAAACTTGACGTTAATTCTTCGTTACTGGGTGTCTGGAGCATGTTGGTACTAATGTTGAAATGCTAATACCAAAAGAAAGCATGGAGACCTGTGTATAGTGGAGAATGCATGGTGCTTGGGCAAAGGAAAATATTCACTTCGTGTTAAGTATTTTCCTTCAGTGTGTCTATTCTGTTTATATTGGTGAGGATTTGTTTTGTCTGTAGATACGAACATCTCGGATGCGTGTGTACCTATGTGACATGATTCTCATCATCGTATTTATCAAAGGAGGGGACAGGGCTGCACAGCAATGGAATTGATAGCAAAACATTGCAGCTATTACTTCTGGTCAAACTGGCTGCCAGATAATGGTGCTAGCTCACATTCACTGATCACTACATACCAGTTATTGCTCTGAGCAATATTGCACTTGCAACTCACAATTATGCATAATAGATGCTGTCATTGTCCCATTGTGTAGATGGGAAAGGGAAGGAATAAAAAAAAAGCAACCACTTTCCCAGGTCCCTATAGCTGGCAGTTGGTGCAGGCCATCTGGCTCTGAGCCTCACTGCTTCCCTGTGTTCACAATCACAAACCATCTCTTTCACGCTGTCTCAGGGCTGGTGACCAGATCCCAGAAAATCAGACTGAGCAAAGCCATCTTAACTGTTTGGGCCCCAGTTACACAGAGAGATGGTTCTTAACTTTCACGGGTCATTAACTCCTTCATAATGGAATGAAGTCCATGTGTGTGCCCTAGAAAAAAACTACATTGTTCTCACAAACACATGAAAATTTAGTTACAGCTTCATGAATTACATAGTTCTGCCTAAAATTCATCATGGGTCCTCAGGAGTTCAACAGCTTTGAGGCGATGAAGCCCTAAGACAATGAAACCCACTTGAGTGCAGACAGCAGTGATAACATTTATGAACCTATTGTAGATGTGAGCATTCAGAAGGGTTCTTTGAAGCCTCGGAGATCTTACCAGTATTATTTGCAGACAGTTAACACATCTGAATCCCTGTGCATTTCAAGATAGGAAAGGAGACTCGACTTCTGCAGAACCTGGTCAGGGTTTGTTCAGAATGTTACGGTAGACATGCACACTCCATTCATGACTTAGCTTCTTAAGTCTCTCAAGTGTGAGGAAGGGCCACCCACAGTACAGGTATTAGTGATGATGGAAATTCCAATCAGGCCACCCTACCTGAGGGGAGATGGTTGGAAGCAGGCTATATCTGAGCAGATGTTTCTTGATCTTCCCTTCCCCACTTGTGTTCTGGTTTGGAGGGTGCCCTTAGAATTTATCGCTATGCTTAAGGATCCTTTCATGCAAAATTGGACAAGTAATTATTATTTGTAAGTGATAACTGTGAGTTACATTTATTGAGTACATGTTTACCAGACACTTTCCTGGGTGCTTTATGGTCTAAGAGGGAACATTACAATTTTTTCTAGTTGTATAGATGGATGAATTACATCCACCTGGAATTCATGGTAGCTGAAAAAAGACACACCCATGGCTGCCTGAATCAAAGCTCATCCTCTCCAAACGATACCATTTGTACACACTAAGCAGTTGCCATGGCTATGGACCTCTGCCTGCATTGTACACAGTGAGGTTCTGACACTGGCGTCCTATTCCTTGGCTACAGAACTGGGGGAGGATGGCCTCGATTCTTGTGCAGGTCATCATCTACTGACTCCTTTGGGTATTCCATGCTGGACTTGATACTCCTGCTTCGGGTTCAAATGCTGTGGTTGTCTGAATGAGATATTCCCCCATCGCTGGTGCTGGCTGGGGAGTCTATGGAGGTGTGGCCTTGCTAGAGGAAGTCTGTCCCTGGAGGCTTTGGGAGATTGAAGACTCATGCGATTTTGAATTCATCTCTCTGTTTTATGTTTTCTGTTCAAGATGTGAGCATCCTCCTGCCATCCTGCCTTTGCTTCCCATCATGGATTCTAACCTCAGGACCATAAACTCAGATAAACTCTTTTATAAGCTGTCTTGGTCATGATGTTTTATCACAGCTTTAGAAAAGTATCTAACCATCTGGTTAGGTCCTTTGGAGTCTAACTCATTTCTCAGTTAACTTGCCTACTCAACCTTGCTCAGACGTTCAGTTTTATGAGGCAAAGTCTTGCCGAATAACCCCAGCTGGACTTGAGTCAATGATCATCCTTTCCTAGCTGAGATTATGTGCATGCCCTGTGACACCTGATTTAGGTGTCAAGAGCTCTGTCCTCTCTCTCATGTGCCTTGAATGATCGCTGGCCCAGAGTGTGGCTACACTCTACTTGGTTGCTGTCTTACTAGCAATATAACACTTTGAATTGTGACCTTCATTTTGTCTTTCTTGATTTCTCTCTCTCTCTCTCTCTCTCTCTCTCTCTCTCTCTCTCTCTCTCTCTCTCTGTGTGTGTCTCTGTCTCTGTCTCTCTCTGTCTCTCTCTCTCTCCTCCCCTCTCCTCTCCTCCCTCTCTTTGTCTCTCTCTCACTATCATTCTTATTCAACCATTCACTCATTCACTTATTTAATGTGTGTGTGTGTGTGTGTGTGTGTGTATGTGGGTGTGTGTAGATGGGCATGTGTATGTGATGGTCAGAGGGCAACTTGCAGGAGTTGGTTCTCTCCTTGCACCACGTGAGTCCTGGAGGCCGCCGTACTTCTTGCCGGGCGCCTTTACTTGGTGAGTCATCTCACCAGCCATGAGCCTCTTTTCTCTGGCCAGCTGTGCCTGTGATCTTGGGTTGTGGTAATCTGAAAGCCTACCTTCCTGTTTCTGTTTTCTCAGGAACGGGACTTTTTTTTTGATGTCATCAGAACTGAACCTACTCTTCCTGTACTGGAATCTTTTGTGTGTTTTCATTAAGCATTCTGTGTCATCGTGCAAGCAGAGGAGGTGGTTAGTAGCACTATCCATTCATTCATGACACATTTATCAAGTTCCTATTTAAGATCCAGGCAATGTGCTGAGTGCTGGAGTTGCCATGGTGACCAAGAGAGAACTTTCTCCTGCTTTCATACTTTATTGCCTCGGAACGAATCCCACAAAAAGCGGCACTTGCAATACAATCTGATAAAGATTCCTAGGCAATAGCAAGCATCTTGACAATATATCAAAGGAGCCACCTACTCGGCGTTTGAAGGGCTAAGATAGATTACCTGGAGGAAGGACTGGATGAAATGAAGCAGGCGAAGAGGTTGGTAGTCAGGGAGTGAGAAGAAAGGGGACAGTTTGAGAAGCAGCTGGTCCACAGCGAGTTCAGCACAGTAGAAGCAGAGCTGAAGCAGGGTGAGAACAGGCGAGGTATTGGAGACTGTGCATGGGAGTGCAGGTACGCGTGTCACACAGCCACCGTATGCCTAACGATCCTAGAGTGGCCTTGAACTTGTAACCCTGCTGCTTCCACTTCCCACGTGCTATGACCGCAGGCCTGCACCACCGTGCCCACTTGAATGGTGCTGAGAATGAAACCTAGGGCAACCTACCAACTGAGCTCCATCCCCCAGCGCCTTACTGATGTTTCCCAAGGTTGGATCCAAGATTTTGGGGGTGCGTCTCTCAGACCCTCCCATCCTGGGTAGGCAGGATTCAATCCAAACACCCTGAACTTCTGTATATGTCAAATGAGCACGAGCTTGCCCCATCTGGCTGCATCTCCAAGATCTGAGATGGTCTCCCATTCGTCGTGTTTTTTAAGGAAACACGAGCTGGTTTTGACGTTGGCTTAGTACTTCCAAATTCTCCTTGGAGGAACCCGTGGCTTCCCATGTAGTGATTTATTTAGGCAGTCCTCGGCATCCTAAGCAAGAGCAGCAGAAGGGGGTCCCTGCCTTCCTTCCCAGGCCCCCACTGTGTGCTGTTTGTTATTTGATTCCATTTTTGCCACTTTCAATATCCATACTCAACGCTGTAGGGTGATCTGACCCCTCACTCCCTGCTGCCTCTCCTCCCAAACACCCAGCAACAAGTCTGGTGAATGGCAGCCTTAGAAATGGACATGTTCACCAGCGAAGCCTCAGACACGGGCTTATTGAATAAATCACCAGCCTTTCATTAAGCGTCTCTCCATGAGATGCCCAGCTCTCCTTGCAGTTGGAAGGCCCTGGCTCTGAATTCCTGAATGTGTTCTGGATGCTATCACCAATTACTCCTCTCCTTCCTGGCAGCAAATAGAAAAAAGCCATTTTCAAATTGCTTCCATTATCACAGGACATTTTCTCAGAAACATCACTCTTTTTTAAAAATGGATGGGGTGGGCATGGGATTATTTCCAGTTAACCCAGTCATGGAATTTTCTGGAAGAAAGCTGGTTTCCACTGGGGCCACTCTAAGTTTAGGGTCAGCATGAGCGCTAACTCTGCCTTCACTAACCACGTGAAGGGGGCGAGCCACTTCGTCTACCGTTTGGAAGCTATCAGCACCTAGAGCTGTCGCAGAGAGCTGTCGCAGAGAGGGTGTAGCTTTGTCCTGGGAGGCTCTGTTATTACTGTTTCAAAGATTGCTTTCGAGAGGGGCTGGAGAGAGAGGCTCAGTGGTCCAGGGCAATGCTGCTCTTGCAGAGGACCCAGGTTTGATTCCCAGCACCCACACTAGGTGATTCATAACTGCCCGGAACTCCAGCTGCAGGCGCTCTGACACCTCCGGAGTCCATGGGCACCTGGACTCACATTCACAAACTCTCATACGCACACTAATTAAAACTAGGTGGATGTTTAAAATGGTTATCAAGAGAACCATCTACCCGCGTGTCCTCAGGGTGATCTGACACGTCTTTGATTCACAGAAGTCTCGTTTTCCTTATGAAAGGCCAGTCTTCAAAGTATGGACGCAATATTGCTTTCCAAAGTGTTTCTGGACCCCTGTCTGATAAAATGAAAAACTAAAGAGACTACGGCTGGGGTGTTTAACTTCGGCTGGCCTTCTTCAACCAGACAATCATATTTTTACTACAGAACGACGAGGTGGAATTTGTCCGAACTGGCTATGGGAAGGATATGGTCCGAGTTCTCCATATTCAGAGGGATGGCAAGTACCACAGTGTCAAGGAGGTGTCGGCGTCGGTGCAGCTGACTCTGAGGTCCAAAAAGGATTACCTATACGGCGATAATTCTGACATCATCCCTACCGACACCATCAAGAACACAGTGCACGTCCTGGCGAAGCTCAAAGGGGTATGACAGTCGTTCTTAGATGCTCACTGCTTCTTGGTACAAATTCAGTGCCGGCTCGTGTGGGGGTGGTGCGCTCTTATTTTAAGCTCTCATTTCCTTTTAACCTATTTTTACATACATGCCATTTTTAAATTTTTCCTTTCTACCCTAAAATTCTCAGGCTTACAGAACAAAAACTTTCTCTTCATTTACCTTTGTTAATTAGGAAGAAAAAGCTCCTGGGAAAATTAGCTTGTTACCTCACATTGGAACTATGGGCAAGTCAAGGCCACGGGAGGACTTCAGCCTAAATTTAGCACGTTTCTCGTTGCTTTTCCTTGAGTTCCATCACTTTTAGAGTCTGCATTTGCAGCAGAAAGGGCCATTGTTGTACAGCAAATGAGAATATTGATTATAAGATACTCTACTTATTGGTAAAGTCTACTGTCCACAATTTTGTGCCCATTTTAGTTTTCTGGTGACTGTAACAATATACCCCACACTCCAGGGTATGGAGTAACAACTGAAGGGAGGGTTTATTTGAGCTTGTGGCTTGAGGGTATAGTCCAGTGGTTCTCAGTTTTCCTAATGCTGTGAACCTTTAAGTTCCTTATGCTGTGTTGACTCCAACCACAAAATTATTTTTGTTGCTACTTAATAACTATAATTTTGCTACTGTTGTGATCGTAAAGCATGTATCTGCATTTTCCAATGGTCTTAGGCGACCCCAAAGGGGTTGTGACCCACAGGTTGAGAACCTCTGGTGTAGTCCATCACTGGGGGGATGTCATGGCAACAGGCGTGTAGGCAGTCAGTCATCCCCTGTCTGTGTGGTCAGGAAGCAGGGAGGTGAATGCTGTGTTCAGCTTGACTCACCTTTTCATTTATTCTGGGGTCGCAGGAGATGGGAGGGGTACACTCACATCCACGTAGTTGTTCCCCTTATGGAAATGCTCACACAGATACATCTAAAGACTGAATTTCTGTGGGAACCCTGGAGCCCATTTGCAAGCCTCACGAAAAGCCTCAGTATTACAGGCATACTGAGAGCTCTTGGGAGGCAGGTCAGAAGGACTGCTGTGAGCTTGATGTTTGCCTGGGCTACACAGAGAAGCATTATCTTAAACAAACCAAACAAAAACTACTGTAAGCCAGGTAGAGAGGTTTGCAATCTCAGAATGAGGTGTAGAGAGAAAGACCATGAGTTCAAGGTCAGACCAAGATGTGTAGTCAGTGAGCAGCTACCTACCTCAAAAAAATAAAATAAAATAAAAGAGTCAGAGGCCGTTTTGATTGCCAGGGCTTCTTTCCCTTTTACAGATAAAGAACATAGAGACCTTTGCTATGGCCATCTGTGAACACTTCCTCTCCTCTTTTGACCACGTCACCCGAGCCCATGTCTATGTGGAAGAGGTCCCCTGGAAGCGTTTGGAAAAGGTTTCATCATTTATGCTCTCTGTTTCTCAAAAGAATTTGCTATCGTGCTTTGTGCTGGTATGCCGCTGCAAACAACTTTGTTCTTCCTTTCAGAATGGAGTCAAGCATGTCCATGCCTTCATTCACACCCCCACGGGAACACACTTTTGTGAGGTGGAGCAGATGAGGAGTGGTAAGAAACCATTTTCCATGTGTCTACTCTGCAAGAGACATCGGGCGTCTTTGGTTGATGTCTTTGCTTTCCTGGCCAATAGCAATGCTTTTTATTAGCATAGAGGAAAGCTGTGGCGAATTTGTAAGCCTTCTAAATCTGAGCCTGGACTGAACATTGTGGCTTTGGATTTCACATTACAAGGTTATCTGCCTTTTGCTGAAAGGTAGCAAAGGAAGTGATTCCTTCTATCACAAATTCCTGAGTTTGAGTGGTAGAAATTTTCTATTTTGAAGTTTTGAAGTGAAACAGGAAAAGAAAAAGTAAAGGCTGGAAATGACGATGCAAATCTCCAATTTTTCTAACCAATGTTTTTGGTAGAGTATCATGAGATAGCGATAGTAACCAATATATGAAATTACTAATGTTTCCCTGACATTTTATTTGCATAATAAAATACTCATAGTATTATAATCTCTTTAAAACAAGTCTCGCTAAAAATAGCAATGACTATTACATAAATGTATTTAGCAAGAAATTTAAAATGTAAATCTAACTATGAAACATTACTATAATATATTCCTTATTAGTACCAACAATTAATCTGAGCAAAGAAAGTTCCCAATGCTGGTGTCCCATTGATGTGTTGGGGCCGTCAGAAGCAGAATTAAATAATCCATTCAGATCACTTAATGTCTTCGAAGCAGAGAACTTCGAAGCACACAGCCAAAGATGGCAGGAACACAGCTGTCTCCGTAAGAGGCGCTGTCATGGTCATTACGGATTCAGTGTCGACTTTGAGCTTTTCCAGATTCTATCTCATTTCTTCCTTCTTTATCCCTTAATGTTTCTAACTACTTGAATTAAGACTAGATAGATCTAAGTCTGTCTCAATGTTTCAATAACATCTCTGAAGTTATTTATAGAAAAAGGACTGGGAAGTTGTTGTATTAAATTGAGAAGATGATTCTGATCACCGAATAGAACTCCCTCATTGAGCTGCTACCTAAAACACTCAGTCTTGACCTCCGTCTTGTCTTCCATCCCACCTTCTTTTCTTTTTCCTCAGTGAGTCTTTTTCCCCCTTTCTTTCTTTACATGTGATTTTAGAGGCAAAAAAGAGAAACTAATCCTAACTCATGGCCAACATTTTCTTCCTAAGCCACACTGATTGCTCTCATGAAATCAGAAAGTCTAAGCCAGACCTGCCTAACTTTATTATATGGTTTTAAAGACTTTTAGTAGTCACTTTAGGAAACCAAAGAGGAATGAGAAAATATTTTTAACAATAGATTTGGCTTAATTGAAAATGCCATTTATGGAATAAATACTAACTAACTAAATTTCACTCTTTGAAATAAACCAAGTGTCCAAAGCCATGTAGACATTCTGTGTTAACAGTAGAGCTTGACTCACGTTAGCTAGATTTCAGGTGTTGACTGACAACCGGTGGCTGACAGCAATGTGACACTGTATTGGTCACATAGCTCTCACCTGGTTTTAGAGACCTCTGGGAGCTTAGCACACACTTTATCCCATTCTTCATCTCACTCAAAGACTGGAAACGACCGGAAGTAGACTTGCACAGAGCTGATTAAAGCTAAATTCATTTATGGAAGTCATTCGTTCAAAAGTGCTGGGGTCATTCATCCATGCACTATCTACTAAGCAAGTGGACTTTGAAGACTTATTACATGCACAGAAGATGGTATGTGAGGAGATGCGCGGAACTTCCCCTGATCTCAGAGAATCTGCAGTACATTGTGTTATTAGAGATATACTTGTGAACAGATTCATTGCAACATGAAAGGCTAAAAACCACAAGTGAGGGACTAAAGGCATCGTAACGGAGCAGAGACATTCCAAAACTCAACTTTGCTCAGATTTGCACTATGCTGGTCATGAAAGAGGATGGGTCTACATGGAGAAGCAGTGGAACTTAGGGAGGCAGGGTACATAAAGGCATGGGGGAGGCGGGCTAAGGTGTTCTGAGCCTCATGCTGAGCCCACATTGGACAGATACTTATTTAACTGTTGAACAGGCTAAACATTTGTAGGACAGGACTAAGATCAACGAGTCTGATTCCTTGGGGGCCACTGAGGGGCCTCCCATGTTGAACTAACTTGTATAGTCTAACTTAAAGGCAGCTTGCATAGTAAACCCCAGAA